TTTTTTCAAAATCGTTTTTCTTCCTTTATAAATAATGAAGTCATATTCTTAAAGCCCAAATATCTCACACATGTTCTCTAACTAGCTCACCATCACTAGGCATCACAGACGACAGAGGTAATACCTTTTTTTTCCCAAAGATTCATTCATCCATTTGAAAGTCAGAGTTACACAGAGAGAAGGAGAGGCAGAGAGAGAGAGAGAGAGAGAGAGAGAGAGAGAGAGAGAGAGAGAGGTAGGTCTTCCACCCGCTGGTTCACTCCCCAATTGGCTGCAACGGCCGGAGCTGCACCAATCCAAAGCCAGGAACCAGGAGCTTCTTCTGGGTCTCCCATGTGGGTGCAGGGGCCCAAGCACTTGAGCCATCTTTTGCTGCTTCCCCAGGCCATAGCAGAGAGCTGAATCGGAAGTGGAGCAGCCGGGACTCAGACCGGTGCCCACACGGGACACCAGCACTGCAGGTGGCGGCCCCACCCCCAATGCCACAGCACCATCCCCAAGAGGTAACAACTTTAAAACAAGTTTTCTATCTTTTAGAATCTTTGGTTCTTCAGGAACTTCGGAAGTTCTGTTCTTAGGACTCTGTCATCTATTCACCAGTCTATTTCGAGGTGAAAACAGGTGCTTTCTTCTGACAGGCTGCATTTAATAAATAAAATATATCAAAGAAGCAATCTATATAAAGTGGTTAAGGGCAAAGCTCAGGCGCCAGTGTGCCCAGGTGCAAATCCTGAGTTCTGTTACTTAACCTCTCTCCACTTGGCTTCTTCATCTGCAAAGTTGGAGTAATAACAGTACCTACTTCCCAACGTTGGTGTGAGGATTCTGATTTCTCTCTCTCTCTCTCCCTATCTCTCTCTCTCTCTCACACACACACACACACTCACACACACACATACACACACACACAATGCCCAGGACATCTGACACAGTGTAGTGTGTTATTATTTTCAAATACGAAGTTCCTTTTGCAAGCTACGTACATAAAATTGCATTCATGCTAGAATCAGATTTTAGATACCAACTTATTTATCTACATCAGTAAAACAGTGCTGCACTAGATGAGAAAGAAGTGCACTAGGCCGCATGATAAGGCCCAGAAGCAAGGAAGCTGAACTGTGCGTCTCTCTCAAAGCCCATGAGCACACACGACACTGGGAGAAGAGATGCATCCAAACATTTGCCGCATTTTGTGAAGATTCATTACCTTGCGTTTGAAAGTCTAAACAAGCAGATGGGAGTCACTAAGAAACCAAAACCCAAAGCCAAGGAAGGAGGGAGAGAGGGTGGAGTCGCACTGGCCGGCACTGCCACCCAGCTGGGGGACTTCGGCAAACACCTGCCGTGCTCGTGCTCGGTACGGCTTTCCTCACCCGCTCAGCAGACGATGTACTTCCTGTCCCAGAGTGGTCCTGGGGCTGGGTGTGAGAACAGGGCACTCAGCCTCTCCCCACCCACCCCTCTGCTCACACGCCCACTTCCAAGTTCCTGAAGAGATTACATGGTAAAGACTAAAGGAAGGCAAAAGTGAGTCCCTCTGCAAACTGAACTCTGCCGGGCCCTGAAACAGGAAGTAGGGAGAGACCCTCCACCAGGGAGCAGAGGCGGAGCAGGAGACAGCATTGGATCAGCACGATTCTGTCATTTAATTCTTCAAGTCTACCAAGAAGTTCATATCAAAAACAAAAACACAAGCAAACAAACAAACAAACAAAACCTCTGCATGCTTTCAGGATGCTGTGAATAAAAAATTGCAGAGTCAAGCAAATAGCGATAGCAGCATCACGTATCCTGGTTTCTAAAGTTTATGTCAGCTCACTCACAAGATAGTTTAGCGAACGATGGGAACTCTCATGCTCAGATGCTCGGTCTGCAGCTCCTCAGGTTCAGGCACTGCAGACTCTCCTGGGTGCCTCTGGTCCCCAGCGAGTACTCGCGCCGTCAGGTGCCGCCTGCCCTTCACAGTCCACGCTCAGTGCCTTTCTTCTTCATTCTGCTCCCATCCGCAGCAGAGCACAGCAGCACCCAAGAACAACGAGGCCTTCTCTGAATTTCCTATTGGATTATACTTAACCTTGAAAAATTGTTTTCCTAATTGAATTATGCAGAATTGGAAATTAGCAGTGTTAGCTGCTCATCACCTTACAAGATATATGGATCATGACCTAGGATGGGAATTTTGTAATCCATATTTGAGTTATAGCCATTTCTACTGATTTTAATTTAATTGCTTGCTGTGCAATGAGTAATTCACACATGCAGTACTTTAACTGCAGTGGTATCTGCAGCAATTAATTTTAACTGAACTTTCAAAGGCCAACAAACAAACAAAACTCAAAAAGGTCTCCATGTTAATTCTTCTTTTAAGCCAGAATCCAAAGTTATGTTTTTTAAACTGATGTTTACCATCCATTAGATCAGAAAATAACTTAGTGGTTTGCGTCTAATATTTTAAAAAATAAAAAACAAAATGGAAAACACCAGTATGCATCAGGCACAGTAAAAGCAGGTAATATTTTGTTAAATTTGGTTTATGCGTGTGTGTGTGTGTGTGTACTAAGTCACAAGTAATGTACATTTCTTACTACAGTCAAAAAGTATAAAGCCACTGATGCTTATCAGTGAGTTACTAGATGCTAACTGGCTCTTCGGAGAAGTCTGGATTAAGCTGCCCAGACCATAGGTACATGCTGTTCAATCCTTCTATGGGAGAAATGAGGAAGACCAAGCAAATATAAATACACAGATAATTAAATAAAATACACTATTTCAATTCCTGATGCTGCATTTTGGGTGGCACAACAAAAAGAAAGATTTACTTCATTAAGTCAACATTTCACTAGAATAATTACTGCCCTTTATAAAAATGAAATGGAGGGGCTGGTGCTGTGGCACCATGGACTAAAGCCCTGGCCTGAAACGCTGGCGTCCCATAAGGGCGCTGGTTTGAGTCCCGACCCCGACTGGTCCTCTTCCGATCCAGCTCTCTGCTGTGGCCTGGGAAAGCAGTGGAAGATGGCCCAAGTCCTTGGGCCCCGGCACCCATGTGGGAGACCCAGAAGAGGCTCCTGGCTCCTGGCTTCAGATCAGCTCAGCTCCAGCCAATGTAGCCACCTGGGGAGTGAACCAGTGAATGGAGGACCTCTCTCTCTGTCTCTACCTCTCTCTGTAACTCTGTCTTTCAAATAAGTAAATGTTAAAAAAAAAAAAAAAAAAGAAATGGAAGTTGCCTATAAATACCCATAAGGTTGGCCGGCGCCGCAGTTCACTAGGCTAATCCTCCGCCTGCAACACTGGCACCCCGGGTTCTAGTCCCGGTTGGGGCGCCGGATTCTGTCCCGGTTGCTCCTCTTCCAGTCCAGCTCTCTGCTGTGGCCCAGGAGTGCAGTGGAGGATGGCCCAAGTGCTTGGGCCCTGCACCCTCATGGGAGACCAGAAGGAAGCGCCTGGCTCCTGGCTTCGGATTGGCGCAGCGCCAGCCGTAGTGGCCATTTGGGGGATGAACCAACGGAAGGAAGACCTTTCTCTCTGTCTCTCTCTCTCACTGTCTAACTCTGCCTGTCAAAAAAAAAAATATATATATACCCATAAGATTTAACCATGATGGTATTTAAGACTGAAAAAACAAAAACAAAATAAAAAACACATATAAGTGCTTATAAACCAATTATTAAATCACTTTTCACAGAACTTTAATTTCTAAGAGATTTTAAAAGTCACACTACAAGTATCCTATAGAAAAAAACAAGAGTAATAATTTGTAAACAAAATAATCTGTAAACAAAGATAACTTATCAGTGTGTCCATTTTTGAAGTAATATAATGGTTTTTAAAGTTTAAAACGTCATTACTGAATTTATGTTCTCATTAAAAAAAATGCACCTACATTCTGTGTTTCTGCATTCAATACTGTGCAAACAAGCAGATGCAGGAGGATCCACGAACGATGGGAATCCACCTCGCCGGTGGATGAAGTCAGCAGCTCCAGAGCTGCAGGGGCGGCCTGAGGGGTCAGCAAAGTGAGCAGAAGCTCCCCAGGGAGGGCAGGTGCACGTGCAACTCTGCTGCACCTGAGAGGCAAAGCAGTGCGGAGGTTCATCCTCACGCTCTACTCAGGCCCTGGGAATGGCAAGTCAAGCTATGTGAGTTAGGTGCTGGGGAGGACGTGCAGTCTTCACACAAAGTCTACTGAGAGCAGATCTTTTTCTACATGGACTGTACCTAAAGCTATGTGAATATTAAATCTAAGAAATATATTGGAAAACTAGTAAAAATCAATACAAATGTTACAATCTGTAAAAATGTATAGCTGTAAAATAATGTAAATATTGCAGAACCAATAAGAATCTTTTAAGTTTGCTCAAAAAACTCTGTAACTGTAGTGCCAAATGCCCTTTTAAGATAGATACTAGAGATGAGAAAGCTCAAAGGAGTGTCTGATTTGACGCGGTCACTGGATCACTGGATGCATCCCCATACAATCAGACACGAGACAGTAGTTCTGTAATTACTTGGTGACCATTGGGAGTGCTGTCTTCCACAGGTCTACATGCTTCCTGTGTTACTAGCACACAACTGCAATCAAAGGAGGATCCCTAAGAATGGCTTTTCTTACCAGCACTGAGATATCTGGCCTCAGTATTCTGCCAGCCATTTTTGAGGTCTGTCACACAAACCGGACTCCAGCATATGTCCAACAGAGGCACCTGCTTTTGGAGTAAATCATTTGATGGAAGAGTCGTGTGTGGGTCAAAAATAAAGCCTCAGGGCGGTTTGATTATGCAGCAGACGGAGCGGGCAACACTTTGCGTTTTTTAAAGGAGGCATCTGAGATCAAAGGTTCGAAACTGTCCTTCCACACATGCTTGTTCTCTGTTTCAACACCAATAAAGACGTATCCAGTGAATGTTCTGTAAAATCTAGAATTCAGTTTACTGAGCTTACTGATCAAAACCTGACTTAAGTCTTCAGACGGAAAGAAAATTTCAAAGGAACAGAAAGTTGATACACACATTGAAGAGTTTAATATTTTACTAACAAAATTTTCAGACATCTCACAAATACCTAAGTACTGTTTCTTTGGATGTGTCTCAAAACTAGTGTAAGTTAAGTGAGATCAGTATACTCCTGAGTTTCTTTCTGTTCTTCTCTTGACTTGGTCTGCTCAAAGCATGGATTTCAAGTTTCAGTAAAAATCAAAGCTTGCAATTAATTCTTAAAAAGGTATACTTAACAATGAAATTAGAGAGCAGCTGACTTGTACGGATTTCCTAGGTATGTAGGTCTTAGGCTGAGAAAGCCGCCACTATTCCACTGGTTGTTATAATAAGAGCTGCTTAGAATCCCAACATGAACACACTTTTATTTTAAAACTAAGCTGCATTTTAGAAAAGATAGGAAACTCAGAAGGTAATGCAAAGATATAAAGGAGAAGTATACTAATGGAGCTTATAACTATACAGATGAAATTTTCTTATTTTGGTTCTAAGTGGAAATGTTTGAAGTCAAATAAACGTAACTGTTTTTCAAAAATTTCTCCCCCAAAAACCTTTAACTCCAACAATTTGAGAAAAAAGTTGTTTTACTTTTTGTCTGAACACAGACAATCTATTGTCATACACATAGTGCATGTGAACATATATATTTATATAGATGGCATAATTATGTGTTCAAATAGGTCCATCTTATATTTTTGCATGCATAATTTTTGGTACTCTATCCTACAGGATGGTAACACAGAATTTAAGTTCATAGTGTTTATTCAGTGGACTTAAAGTTGGGAAATCATCCCAACAATTATTTACAACTTAATAAGTGAATATCTCATCATGTTACAATGCAAAACTATCCTTACATCATGACGGCTGACGCTGTGAGTCGTGGTGTTAAAGCAGTAACTTTTATAAGTTGGGGAATGAAATTGGCATATATAAAAGTAACCAAAGGTTTCAAATGGAGGAAAGATGGGGTTTCTACCACTCAGCATTTATATTTTTCATAAGCATCAGAGAAGCACGGGAAGTGATCTTTGAAAAAAATGCTTTAAAAAACTGAGAGTACATATAGCCTATAAGGCAAAAACCTAAGTTACAGTGTATTCAACACTGGCAACTATGCTATGAGAGGTAATATTGAATTATATACACAGAAACGGTCACTCAACTATGATTACACAATACTTTCTACCATAGCTTATTTTACTGTACAATAGAAGATATTCCTGTGGCTTTCTCCCAAGGCTCAGGTTGTAAAAGAATTCAGTATCTTTCCCTTGGCTCAAAGTCTGACGAATATCATTCTGTAACAGAAACAACACTTTTGTTTTTGTGTTTAAGGAAATAAAAAATATAATTTGTAACCATTTCAGTTACAATGCACCCATTGCAATGACATCTAAAGCAGTTTAGTGCATACAAAACTGCATTTCTCTGGATAACTTTCACTTAGTACCAAGGATGTCTTGCCGGTAGGTTGCTACATTCTGAATAAAATATATAGTGGGATTTAAATGACCCTTTAAAAGCCTCAAACAGTATCTCATCCTTTTGGCTAAGATCAAGTATAGAAAGCCTCAAAATTTGGCTTCTGGAACATCTGCGTATCAGGTGAAAAAATTCACATTTCCTGATGTGAGTAAAGGTATCTACAGAATGTGCTGTTCTGCACATCGCTACAAAGAACCAGTGGTTAGCTGAATTACAGGGTCTGTCCAAAAGCTAAATTTAAAACAAGAACAGCAATGACCAAGTTCTTAGCAGATTAGGAAAAATCACGACACTGAGAGGCCCAGGCCCTGCCCTGAACCGGGTCAGCAGGAAAGCACTTCTGTGACGGCAGGAACGTCTGAGCCGGAGCTCTCCAGAGCGGGGCAGCTGCAGGTCTCACAGTGCTTTCTGATGCCCATTCGCAGAAGGTTTGGTTGCTTCCGAATCCCTTGAAGTATTTGATAAGTGAAGCTTATGAAGTCCTGCAGAAAAATTAAGAAAATGGTGAGAAATGACGCAGTGCCCAGTGCTTAGGCAAAGGGCTGGGGTGGTCCAAGAGAGAAGATTTACGAAGGGGAGTGTGTGGTCCTGCAGTGGCCACTGTGCTGTGCGGCCAGATCCCCTTCAGGAGTGAACGATGTCTTCTCGCTCCTTTGAGAGCGGCCGAAGCTGAAGACGTTTGCCAGGCAAGCAATCGTGACCCTCCCAGGCCTTCCTCCCCTGGCTGGTAACAAAGGCCTGACCCCTCCTGAAGATCACCCGCAGTCACACAGCCCCCGGGGCCAGTGCGGCGTCGGGCTCCCGCGAGGCACCGATCTCTCTCTCTCCGGTCTCTTCCCCTTCCCTTCCCCCTCCTCCTCTGATACGCATCTTTCTGGCAAGCTTAGCCCCATCTCTAAGTGTGCGCCCCATGGTACCCAATCTGCCACAGCTATGTACCTATTTTTGTTTTAGAATATATACATATATGTCCATGTACGAAAACAGGGAAAGACCAAATATTAAACATGTACTAAAAAGAAAAACAGTGGAAAAATTACAAAAAAAAAAAAAAAAAAAAAAAACAAAGACATGGCAAAATGAACAAACGGAACATAAATAATATTTCATTATTCACAGACATTTTACAGAATAAAAAATTCACTTTATCTTTTTAAGTTACAGTAATTTCCCTCTGCATCATATAGCAATAATTTAGATAATATAACTGGTATCTAGAACAACACTGTACCTCACAGGAAGAAAAGAGAAGAAAATTTAAGTATTTATGTGGTACTAAAGTTCAAGCACTTTAATAAAAATGACACACAAGGAAACAGTAAGGAGTACATTCACAGGAAAGACTTCAAGGCAGCCTTCTTCACCTCTCAACAACTTACTTGGAAAAAATCACCTTCCCCTAAAATTCCAGGTGGTAATGTACCCGCTACAACAGGTTTCTATCAGTCTCAAACCAACAATAACACTCCAAATTTTAAAATTTCTATCATCTGCATATTTTAATAAAAGAAAAAGTAAAAATTGAACCTCTCTATGACATCTTGGTGGGAAGGGAAAAAAAAATCAATCGAACAATAACCCAAAAAAAATTGGTTCTAGTAGGAACAACCAGACCTCTGATGAGGACAGGACTGTTAGAAGTGGAGAAGTATGTTGAAATAAGGCTGGTAGAAAAGAGACTGAGGGCTAGCCTTATGGCACAGCAGGTTGAGCCCCCGCCTGCAGAGGCAGCATCCCATGTTGGAGCAGCTGGCATCCCATACTGGAGCCCTGGTTCAAGTCCTGGCTGCCTGGCTTCCAACCCAATCCCCTGCCAATGTACCTGGAAAAGCAGCAGCAGACGGCCCACGTACATGGCCTCCTGCCACTCATGTGGACCACCCAGCCCAGGCTATTGCTGCCATCTGGGGAATGAACCAGGTGATGGAAGGTCTCTTTCTGTTTCTCCCTCTCTCTTTTAAATAAATACAATAAATCTTTTTAAAAAATAAAGAAGAAGAAAGAAAAGAGATTGAGCAAAGAGTGCATCTGTGAGGTACGCGTTAACTGGTCTGGATCCTTTAAGGGTAGACTGAGTTCACTTCTAAAATACGGAGCAGCGTAGGGTGCGTGTTCTGAAACTGTCCACGTCTGTCCTCTGCAGACAACACCAGGAAAGTCACTTCATTACCAGCAGCTTCACAGCGAGATTCTGAGGGCTCACTGCATGCCCAGTGTTCTGTGAGACAGATACGATTAGCATCAATGGACAGAGTAGCAAAGGGGGAAAAGTCTACACAAAACGAAGAGGAAGAGGAAGAGGAAGAAAGGAGATCGTTCAGTTTTATAATTAAGACTCCCAGTGAAATTATACGTGAACTCTCAGGTCATTCAAACATCACTACTCTTAATGAAGATCTTTTTCTTTGTATAAAATGATGTTCTGAAGAACATCCCAAAGAATAATGAAGAACCTATCTGACAGTTTTACACCAGTCTCAATAATTCCTCTGCCTCTTATGGTCAAAGAACTAACATGACATAAAGATCTTTTACATGAGGCTAAGTTACATTTTACTAATGTAATAAAGCCTCCCTAAGCAAAACGACATCCAGAACAACCAACCCAAACACCTAACGCAGCACAACTCATTTGCAACCATCACATTTGGTGAATGGAAAGTGGCAGCTAATCTCAGATTATGGCCTAATCTTGTTGATGCTGCCTATGACACTGCATCCCAATTCAAGTCCTGGCTGCTCCACTTCCCATCCAGCTCTCTGCTATGGCCTGTGAACGCGATAGAAGAGGGCCCAAGTCCTGGGGCCCCTGTACCCATGTGGGAGACCGGAAGAAGCTCCTGGCTCCTGGCTCCTGGCTTCGGCTTGGCCCAGCCCTGGTCATTGTGGCCATTTGGGAAGTAAACCAGCAGATGGAAGATTTCTCTCTCTCTCTCTCTCTCTCTCTCTCTCTCTCTCTCTCTCTCTCTTTCCTCCCCCCCTCCCTTTCTTTCTGCAACTGACTCTCAAATAAATGAATAAATAAAAGAAATCTTAAGGAAACAACTAAAATAGGATAGTTAAGCTGGAGTCTTTTTTCTTCCCAAAGGTTATCCTTTCAAACATCAAGGTTGGAAAGGCTTGGTGTGTGAAAAGTTTTATGGCCACTCATACATTTAAATTATCTGAAATCTGGATCATAATAAAGTGCACAATATGGTTGTCTTTTGCAGTGGGTAAAAACCACAATGGAACATGGAATATAAAACATTCAAATGGGGACCTGCGCTGTGGCATAGCAGGTAAAGTTGCTGCCTGCAGTGTTGGCATCCCATACGGGTGCCGGTTTGAGACCCAGCTGCTCCTCTTCCGATCCAGCTCTCTGCTATGGCCTGGGAAAGCAGCAGAAGACGGCCCAAGTCCTTAGGTCTCTGCACCCATGTGGGAGACTCGGAAGAAGCTCCTGGCTCCTGGCTTCAGATCAGTGCAGCTCCGGCCATTGTGGCCAATTGGGGAGTGAACCAGTGGATGGAAGACCTACCTACCTCCCTCCCTCCCTCTCTCTCTCTCTCTCTCTCTCTCCTTTTCTCTGTGTGTAACTCTGAATTTCAAATAAATAATAAATAAATCTTAAAAAAAAAAAACAAATGACACCACTCAGATAAATGAGCTAATGTCAAGATTTTCCCTTCTTTTACTATGACATACCCTAAGTCAAAGACAGTTGATACTGTTAAAATACAAAACTTGAAATAATGCTAACATTAATGTGGAAATAAGCATGAAAAATACTTATATTTGAACCCTTTGGCTAAACCTAACAATGATTATGTTAATACTGTCATTGCATGTGACTCATGAAATTCCTAACGAATCTCCTCCCTCAACACCAAGAATGCTAATATTTTATCCTGAATTATTTGACTTACTAAAGAGAATTAAGGGTCAACCTGATGATTGTAAGATCCAAGTTTCAAGAAAAGCTTTAACTAAAAAAATAGCAAAAGCTATCCTTACCAAAGAAACAAGGCTTCCACACAAGGTCATCCTCATTACCACCACCACCACCACCACCACCACCACCATCATCCCAGTATCATCATCATCTTCACAGTAAAAGACCTAAGGTCTATTGAGTTCTTACAACACACCAGTCACTATGCTAAGGCCATTACATGAAGTATTTCAGTTAATATTCACAACAATCCTAAAAGGAAGATAACAGTGTTTTATAGATAAAGAAGGTGAGGTGAAGGAAGTAATCAATACGTAGTGATCAAGTATTGATGTCTGAAGTTGTACACATTTGGAAAATGCCGTGGATGAAGACTTAATAATGAACTCAAATGTCAAAACTGTTAGTTAGCCAAAAGAGAGAAAAATACCCATAAACCTCAGGATTACCTAGGGCCTTGAAAAGCTCTTCTCGCACAGCCGAGGTGAATTTTCTGACCAGACATAATGTTGTTACAATAGCAAAAAGTAAATTGTAGGATAATACAATGTAGAAATTTCCCAGCCAGTTAAACCTTCCAAAGTCTCCAAGTAGATCAAATCTAGTGATTCCTGTTAAAAATAAATAAAATAGCCCTTAATAAAATCAGGTAAGATAATAATGCATTTTTTTTTTACAAAATAAAGTACAAGTCAGATCAAATTCCATGTGCTCTCTCATTGCTGTTTTGTAGAATGCTCTGATCAATGAATCCTGGCTCAAAACACGTAAATGTTTCCTGCTGGAATAACCTCAAACCAATCGAAACCTTTTCACATGCATGCTAGTCACTTGAAGGTATGAGCAATGAGGCAAGAATGAACGCCCCTGGTCACCCACCTGGAATGCAGCTTACATTAAAAAAAAAGAATCCTATTGCGGTGGGCATTTGGTCTAGAGGTGAGGTCAAATGTGTTCCACATTTGAATGATGAGGTCTGATTCCGGGCTCCAGCTCCAGACTCCAGTCTCCTGATAATGCAGATCTCAGACCAGGGTGGCGGTTGGGGCTGGAAGACTCGAGGGACAGCAGGGATGGCCCAAGTGATTGGGTTCCTGCCATAATGTGGGACTCCTGTATTGAGTTCTAGGTTCTGAGCTTCAGGGGCTCACTGAGGGTATTTGGGGTATGAACAAGTACCTGGGAGATCTCTCTCTCTCTCTCTCTCTCTGCCTCTCAAATAAATTAAAAACAAAACAAAAACACCTGAAGTTTCCACATTTTTTTAAGAAAAAAACCATGCCATTTTGTGCTGCTCATATGGGGAGGATGGATGACTACAGGCTTAACTGAAATAGGATGGCTGCGACTGATAGAGAAAGACACCCGAGTAAATCCTCCACCACCCTACTGCCACCTCGCTGGGAAAATGCCTGCCTCTCCCTTCGTTCAGGCCCTTGCTTGCATGCCACGTCCCCCAACAGAGAACTCTGATTCCTCTACAGAAAACCGCTGGACCTCCCAGGCCTCCACCTTACTCATTTCATCATAGCGTACATTACCTGAAACCTTTTCATTGCCCTTTTTGGTTGATCTACTATCTGTTTTTCCCACTAGAATTTACATTCTGCAAGAACAAGGACTTTGCCTTTTTCACTCCTCTAATCCCAATACCCACAGAAACACCTCAATATTACACAGACTTAATATTTATTATATTAATGAACAAATAAAGAGCATCATTTCCTTCCAAACGTTGTTAATCTGAATTTAATGCTACAGGCTTGTAGAGTAAAAGGGCAGAGCTGGAAATACAGTGGAATTATAACACATATGCATTTAAGTTACTTAAATTTACCTAAATACACTTTTAAAAGTTTTTTTAATTTAAAAAGTATTTTTTTAAGATTTACTTATTTATTTGAAAGGCAGAGTTACAGAGAGAGGAGAGATAGAATGGGAGATCTTCCATCCACTGGTTCACTCCCCAAATGGCTGCAACAACTGGGGCTAAGCCAGGCCAAAGCCAGGAGCCAGGAGCTGCTTCTGGCTCTCGCACGTGGGTGCGGGGCCCAGGGACTAGGGCCAATCGCTGCTGCTTTCCCAGGCACATTGGCAGGGAGCTGGATTGGAAGTAGAGCAGCCAGGACTCACACTGGCACCCACCCATGATGCCAGAACGACAGGCTGAACCCCCTGTGCCACCGCACGGGCCCCTAAGAAGTCATTTAAAGAGGCGTTTACAGCTGGCAGAGAAGCAAAGGGAAGCGCTCAGCATTGAGTGTCCGGGCGGAGGTCAGTTCCGGTCTCCATAGCAGCACAGATGGCCGAGGGAAGAGCACCTACGGTTGTCGGTCAACACGCTGAACATCAACATCTTCAGCAACAGCTCTTAGCAGGACTCATTCCAGAAAACCACTGCCCGCCTGGACTGGAGGTCGGCAAGGCTGCTTGCTAAGAAATTCAGCAACCAGGAGACCCGTGTGGGAATGGTGGAAGTGTGTGAGGCAATGCCCACACTGTTCAGTGGCGGTGGTGAAATCAACAACAATCTAATGGAACTTCAGATCCTGACCAATGCCTGAGAGACAGCTTCAGTCAGTCAGGTGAGGGCAGTCATCCCAGGCTTCCCTTATGCTCGCCAAGATAAAGAGGACAAGAGCTGGGCTCCCATCCCAGCCGAGCTTGTTGCAAACATGGCCTGATGACCTCATCACCACCAATCTGCATGCTTCTCACATTCGGGGCTTTTCTGAAATCCCAGTGGACAATCTGAATGCGGATCCAAGTGTCCTGATGTGGCTCAAGGAGAACATGCCGAGTGGAGGAACTGCACGACGGTCGTGCCTGATGCTGGTGGAGCTGAGAGAGTGACCTCCATGTAGACTTCGCCTTGATTCACAAAGAGTGGAAGAGGACCAATGAAGTGGACCACGCAGCACTAGGACATGGGAAGGGTCACATGGCCATCCTTGCAGATGACACGCCTGACACCTGTGGTGCCATCTGCCATGCAGCTGACAAACTTCTCTCAGCTGGAGCCACCAGAGTGTCTGCTTTATTTTTTAAGATTTATTATTTTATTTGAAAGTCAAAGTTATACACAGAGAGAAGGAGAGGCAGAGAGAGTCAGAGAGAGAGGTCTTCCATCCACCGGTTCACTCCTCAATTGGTCACAACAGCTGGAGCTGCACTGATCCGAAGCCAGGAGCCAGGAGCTTTTTCCAGATCTCCCACGTGGGTGCAGGGGCCCAAGGACCTGGGCCATCTTCTACTGCTTTCCCAGGCCACAGCAGACTGGATCGGAAGAGGAGCAGCTGGGTCTCAAACTGGCACCCATATGGGATGCCGGCACTGCAGGAGGCGGCTTTACCTGCTGCGCCACAGCGCCAGCCCAGTTTTTGCTATCTTAATCTCATGCAATCTTTTCTGGTCCAGCCATTTCTCACATAAACAATGCGTGCTCTGAAGCACCAATACCATGCCTCAAGAGAAGGAAATGAAGCATTGCTCCAAAATACAGGTGACCCACGTCTCCAGGATCCACGCAGAAACCATCAGAACTCATAATGGAGTCTCCTGTTGGCTCAGCCATGTCCTTTTATGATAGCAGAATTTCTGAAGCTTTTTCAAAATAAAATGAACCCCACCCCTTGTTTTGCCCTTGGTATTTGAAGACACATTGACCAGAGGACCCAGCCCACTCCAGTGTAGTTGTCTACACCCCGTATCAGGTAGTTGTCGTGAGCCTCGCCACTTTGAAGTATAGCTCAGGTGCTGCTAGATATCAGAAGTTTGAAGGTGTTGTGCAGGGGTGTCTGCCTGTGACTGGGGAAGCTCACACTACTTCCCATGTGAATGTTTCAAGCTTCTTGTCGCTGCTGTTCAAGAACAACTAGCGACAAAGCCAACCCCTGTGTGACAAGGTCTATGCTAAACTGCAAGAGTAGGCAACCCCAAACCCAGTGCAGGATCTGCGGAGCCTGTAAGGACTGAGTGGGCAGTTGAGCCTGAGCAGCTGTATGTAGGTGGGACCGGAAGCTGAGGGTGGGCTGTGTGTGGGGCGGACAGCCCAGTACTGCACATGCTTCTCGGGAGGAAGAGGCCTGACCCATCACCAGCACACCTGACCTCGTAGCCTCAGTTCTTTGTATCTGTCCCTTTGGCTGTGCCTTCCCTTCAGCTCTCTTTTCCTTTTTCCTGGCCGAATGTGCTCTTGGGCCAGGTGATCATTTCATCATGTCTTCTGGGAAGAAAAACTGCTTCCTGCTTTGTGATGCTCACATTCACAGCAGACGATTTGCCATGGCTGACTCTTTCTCAGCCTACTACCACTGTGGTGGTGGGTTTAGGTGGTATTGTAGCTCCTTCAGGCTGATTTAAGTATTTAATTTTCATTTTCCTTCCTTGTATCTATTTGGCCTGTCAAATGACCTGAGATACCTATTAGAAGATTGATATGATTATGGTCTCTTGCTGATGAGTTTAATAAAGTATCAGTGTATGTGGAAAAAAAATAAAAAATAAAAATAAAGAGGCATTCTATTCAATGGACATGTGCTTCAGGTCCACTATTTACTGGAAAGAATACATGAATTTGGTAAGATTTTTTTGGGTGTTCACAGATACGTAGGTAGGTAGACAGATGAAGAGAGGCCAGAGAGCTGCACAAACAGGAACCCAGCAGAAAACTGACCAGTGTATATGCTTAGGGGGAAACAACCAACCCAGAAATTACACAGGTAATAGAACCAAGTAGCAAGAACCTTAAGACAGCGATTATAACTACATTTCTTTTGTGCTAGGCAGACAAATGAAAGACATAAAATTGTCTGAAAGTAACCTTCTAAAAAGGAACTTTGCAATTTAGGATATGAAAAGTATACCAGATGGGATTAATGGCAGAGAAAAAAAACAAAGCAATAGAAACAGGAAATATAACCAAATAAAAGCTAAACATGGTAAACAGAGCATCAGTGAACTTTGAATTAATTTCAAGTGGCTGATTTGTTTGTGATTAGAGTTCCTGACAGATAAAAGGTGGGAAAGAAAATTATTTGAAGAAATAATGGTTAAAAATCTTCCAAATTTGATGAAAACTATATACCTGCAGATGAAAGAAGCATGATAAACTCACATAACAGAATTTCTTAAGAAAACTAAAGCACATAATAATCAATTGCTTAAAAGAAAAAAGTGAAAGATACCAAGAGAAAAAAATCACATAGAACAAAAATATTACAAATTTCTCAACAAAAATTACGTACATGAAAAGACAGAACAATATTTTTAATGCACTGAAGAAAAAAAATCTAAATTTCTTACCAAGAAAAATTGACTTTCAAAAGCAAGGCAAAATACAGACATTTCACAAATACAAAAAGCTACATGAACCTGTCACTGTGCGTTCTACATTAGAAGAACATCAGAGAAAGTTCTCCAGGCAGAAGGACACATGTATGAAGAACTCTGGAACTACACAAAAAAGGAGGAGCAACAGACACGATCACTATGTGGTTAAGCATAAAAGACTAAACTTTTAAAAACATCTTAAAAGATCATTGTTTAAGGCAGAACAAAGGTAACATACTGAAGAGCTTGTAACATATGCAGAAATAAAGTCTGTGCTAAC